AATCCTCATGTAAAAATTGGTGAAACTGCCTTGTGTGTGAATTCATCACCTGGGGTGAAGTAGTATGGAGGAGACCCACACTATTTTTAGAAACTGCTTATTTCAACAGTACGTAATTTCTGGTGATTTTTTTTTTTTTTTAAGTGAATAGTCCCTCCAAATCCCCTTGCATGAAATAGCCTTACTCTATTGTATCAGGTTTTTGCTCATTTTTAATGCAGTCTCCAGTATCCTATATTTTGAACAGTTTCCAGTAGGTTCCTATCACATTGACAGTAAATCTGCTACTTTTAATAAAATTATATTGGAATACTGATTACTTACATGTTCCCTACAGCTATCTCTGTAATTTACAGATCACAAGATGTTGCACAACCATTAGTCTGCTGGGCTGTATCTTAGGAGAAAGAAAACCATGTTTTAGATGCTTAAATATTAATTGGAGAAGGGACTGGTGACTATGTAACCTCTCAAACTGTTTAAGTCCAGAACCTTTCCGGTCAGTGACTATTTAAGTATCTTGTATGAAAAGGAATAATTTCTGTAGGAGATCCTGGAAGTGGGTCACCCAAACACTTTAATGTACTCTTGGGTATGGCTGTGAGAGGTGGAATGTGTTCGGGTCCTGCTGGGCAGAACAGAAATCTGGACTGAGTCTGTCATGTCCTGAGTGTAAAGGATAAGAGAGAGCAGCACACCTGCATAATCTATTTTCCTTCTCCTCAGCAGTTTCAGGACAAATTTGAGTTTCCCTTTCATTTGATTTTGCCAAAACACCTGGAATAATACCACTTGTTCACATCTGTCTCTTGTTTGATCCTAAATAGATTTTTTTTTTTAAGACAGAATTTCTTTTTCTACTTCTTTTCTTCAACACTGAATTGAGAATTCGGTTATTATTACAGTTCTAGTATTAGTCCTTCATGGCATGCAAAAGGAATCTTTCCAGATATTAGGTTTTATGAGATGAGCTCTTTGAAGAGAACTGTTTTTCATGGATACTGAGAAATAAGATTATCCAGTAGTTTTTTTCACTGGGTTGATTAACCCCTGTTGAAAATGAATCTGTAAAATACTGAGCTATAGGGTTTTGGTAACTTTACAAGTTACTCTAATAGGGGATCTATCTCAGATTGAGAGGGAAGGTAAAGCTGTTGCAGACTGGTAGCCCAAATTGACTTTTTTCTTTTTTAGTACTGTGAGTGTATTTGAGTTTAGCATGTGTGCTGAGGGGTGAAAGATGGCAAAGTGAACTCACCTCTTGGCCAGAGTTTAGCTTAAGAAATGAGTTCTGATTAAATTGCAAGAACTTTTAAATTTATATATGCACACAGGTACATAAAAATTGTATAAAAAGTATATGTTCATATTTACATGTTTGTATATTCATGTATATGTATATATTGACTTTGGGTTTTGTCACTGAGGCTTGAAGGGCTGTTTTCATGAGGTTTCTGCCTATTTGTCATTTCTAAGTCTTGGAACTAGGACTTTTGAATCAAAAAAACCTGGTTCCTTGGTTCTCACTATGTACATTTAGTCAAAATTCATTTCAGAGAGAGAAATGAAGAGGAAGTATCCTGTAGTAGGTCTTAAATCCCAGTGTAACTCCTGTTGTTGCTTATTATGTTTTAACAATATTCCCTAGGTAGGACTCATTCTAAAATTGAAGAATCTGGGCAATAATAATAATAATCATAGAAAGAATTCTTACTGCTAATGGCCTTCTTTCAAAATCAGTCTAATTGAACATGCTGATTATATTTTTTTGAGAGCTACAGGAAGTATGCATAAACACTTCAGAGTAGACTGAAAGCATATGTCTATAATGATGATTAAAACCCCAACAAACTCTTGCCCCAAAACATAGTCCTTGTCTTTTTAGCCTTGGGGAGAATGGCTTTGTGGCTGCTATTTGAAATCTATTGAACCTATATCTTTGAAGAGATGTTGACAATATAATATTTATATTCCAAGGTCGTTGCTAATTCAGTTTTGATTTAATTCCTTTAGCTAAGCAAACTGACTCTTAATGAGTGTTTTTATACCAAATACTTCAGAAAGGAAACCTACTGTTAATGAAGAAGCAAACCCTCTGCTTTGGCCATGGCATAATATTGTTTGAAAATATTGAGTGTAGGATGTAGACAAAGACCTTAAATGCACTTTAGGACCTAGACTGGGATTGGTTTCATTGTTTTCGTGGTAAAAATGGATGTGAACAATGCTAACTTCCCTCAAATCATGTTGCTACTGTACTTCTGTTTGAGTCTAATGACAATATTTGAGAAAGACTTCAGTCTCTGCGAGCATTCAATTTATTTACTTTAATTCCTTTTTTTTAAAACTGTTTCTGATGTGGTTTTCTTGTTGTCTTGTTTGGGTTATTTTTTTCCCTTTATTTATTTTTTTTCCATAGGGAATAGAACTATTTTTCATAGTCTGGAATTTTAATTATCTCTAGTTGCTAAAGACCTGAAGTAGCTTGCAGCCGGTAACACTATGCAGAGATTTTTGGGTTTTGTGTGAAAATGCCTTTCCATTTTCACTTCCCCTTTACTTTTTCTTCTTCATCTTTTACTTATTAAAACAGATTATATATGCATGTTGAAAGAGATGGACAATGCTTACGTGTGTGACAAAGTGAGAAGTTTGTTGAAGGCATGAGAGGCGAGTGTATCAGGATCACAACTAGAGTTCTGAACTGTGGTTTGTACTTGAGACATGCTATTTTGTTTTCTGTATTTGATAATATTAAACAAATATACAAAGTCTGGTGCCACCATGGGTCATAGGAGCTGTCTGAAAGGTAAGATCTGCACAGCCCTGTTTTGACCGAAGGGTTAATGTGCCCTGCCTGTCCTTTGTCATAGCTGGTCATCAAGATGGAGAAAACAAGAGCTGAGTTTTCAGATTTGATAGTTCAGAGTAACACGCTACCAAAATTTGTAAGCTGAAGGTGTCTGAAAAATAAATAACACCTAAAATATTTACCACTTCTGAGTTTTCCTCTCTGCAGGATGATACTTGAAAGCATAACCCAGAAAATTTAGACGTGGTATGAGATTGTTTGGCCTTCACTTTAAGAAATGGAGTGAATTTAAAGTATTTTCTTCCTTTTTTTCTAATAAACTTGTGATCATTTTTTGTTTTCTAGGTATACAAAACTTGGCTATGCAGGAAATACAGAACCTCAGTTCATTATCCCATCATGTGAGTAATTTTTTTGTGCCTCCAAATTCTAATATACACTGCTGTCACTGAGCACTTCCAGGACTGAATGACATGCTTCCAACTCAGCCTTTGTAGTCCCTTGTCCATCTGGGAAGTGATATTCATCGCGTTAGCATCTTTGGCTAGAGTGTAGCTAAACAGAACTCCTTGTTTGCAGTTAGCTAGGACTGTTGCTCATTAAATCAGCTCTTGGTTGCTATGACAAAGATGAAGAGAACTCCAGTCCAATTTCCTTTTTATCTCCATTATTTTTCTGCCAGGACTCTTGAGTAGACAGAATGCAATTTACCTCCTGTCTACCTGACACCATGGTTACAGCCTGGATAATCTGGGGAAGGCTTCCAATCAAATTAAGTACTAAAGTGCAGGTGGTGTCTGCCTTATTTACATTGTCTGGGACTGTAGACAGTTTAATATTCAAAAAAGTTGTTCCTATTAGAAAATGTTATTTTTTGGGGGTGTGTTTACCAATTGAAATGTTTTTTGCACATTTAGCATGCTTTTGTTGAACAGATTTACTCTTTAATTTTTTTTGTGTATGTTAAACTTGTTTGAGATGTTAAACCTTTCTGGTGTTCTTGATTTTAATTGTCATCTTTGTAGTTTCTCTGAAATGCTATATATATTTATAAATAGTAGCAGTGAATATGTATTTACATCTATAGTGGCATCTGTTATCTCCATTTATGTTAAACACTGCCTTTTACTTTTTATAAACTTTGTTAATTAACTACTTATTAATGCATCTAGTCTGCCTTGTAGAAAGTATAAAGATAAGGAAATAATAGAGAGAATTGGGGGCCAAAGAGGTGGAGGGAACACGTGTTCTTTACCAGGTGTAGCTGCAGTACTGCTTGTAGTCTCACTATTTTAAGTATTGTAAAAAATTCAGACCTAAATCACTGGTAAAGATTTAAATGTCTTCTGTTAAAGAAGTGGGATAGCAGGAGTTTCCTGTGAATTAGTTATAAATCCTGTTTTGTACAACTATAAACTTGTTGAGGCGTAAATGTTTTTCCAAAAGGATTGGTTGCCTGTGAGTGATTTTCGGTGCTAATAGTGTTTGGTGTGTTTGTGGATGATGCCTGTCTACGCTGCATTTTCTGCTGTATGTTATTTAGATCCTGATTATGACCTATTAAAAGAACTATATAAATAAGGTTACATTTTAGCAGTACTTGATTCCATTTTGTATTTTTAGCTTGCCCCAGATTTGATTTTGCTGTCTCATCTTCTAGCCTACAGCAGCCATCATCTAATAATTTTAGTGATAGTTGCAGCCTGCTAATGGGAAGCATAAGTGTCTCCAAAGATTTCTCTGTAGCACTGCAAATTGATTTCTCCCCTCCCTCCTTCTCACCAACCAATGCCTCCAGTACTTATTTTTGAAGTATATGGTTTATTTTCTTCTTCTCCTGTGTTTTCCCTTAATTCTAGAATTGAAACTCAAAACCAAAATCATGTTGCTTACTGGAATGCTGCACTTGTACAGGTTTTAGTGTAGTCTGAGTTATTATTTACATTAAGCAGAATGATTTGCATTAAGCAGAATTGTGCGGGATACAGTGAGAAGGAATTTGGCTCTATTGGCTTGTCAATAGATTGCTTACATAATTTCTGCTTTCTGTATCCCAATATTTATTTCTGCAAAAGAATCGTTAAGTTGATAAATATTAATTACTTGGTATTTAGCTGGTTTAATTTTGTTTTGATTTGTTTGGGGTTTATTTTAAGGTATTGCAATCCGAGAGTCGGCCAAAGTAGGGGACCAGGCTCAGAGGAGGGTAATGAAAGGTGTGGATGATCTGGACTTTTTCATAGGAGATGAAGCCATAGATAAACCTACCTATGCTACAAAGGTGAGCATTCAGGATTCTTAGAAAGCCATTCCCAAGTTTCACATTTTTATTATGAAATGTTTGAGAACTTTTTGATAGCCATTTAAAACACACCTTCGCTTTTTGTAAAGTGTTTTTTTTTTTTTCTTTTCAAAAACTGCATGGTTTGGTTCATGGCTTTACCCTTCTTAAATGTCTGTTTTACTAGTGCTGTCCTGTGTGATTGGTGCTTGTGTAAATATCCATTGATACAGTGCAGCTGTTCACTTTTCAAAATGATGAGCTATTAAAATAGTCATATACACTGAATATTTAAATTCTTGCTAAAAGTATATCCTCTTAACATGGCATATGAACTGGGAAATGTGTTGGATACTTTTGCTTCAGGGAATGCCACAATTGTTTTGTGGAGAGCTGTTTTCAGTGCAGCTTTTCTGTGAATCATATTTTCCATACCCTAGTAAAGGACTTCTTGTACTTACAAAGTGTTACTGGCTTATGAATTATGTGGAAAAAAATCATATTTTATACATCCTTCTGTGTTACTGAAATGTCAGCTGTGTTCTCAACATTGAACAAAATGTAAACATCATCCCTGCCAGAATTTTCGTTGGAAAATATATATCCTATATGGTCTTTATTTCTTTTTATAGTTTGGAAGGCATATTGAAGCTAAGTATGATTCTCAACTGTATAAATGATAAAATCTATACAAAAAGATATTAAAACACAGTTCTGCAATGGACTCATAGCAGTATTAGGAATAGAGACTGGATTCTGGCTTCTAGTTCTGCAAGGTAGAATCATGCTTTGAAGTACCTGGGAGCAGGAGGTAACTTTAAATCATATCTCTAAATTAAAATCAGAACGGAAGGTTTGATAAGATAACCATGGGATGAGGTGTTTTCATTCTTCCAGAAGATGTAAGGGGTTGGGGACTTAGGCTGTTCCTGAGTTTGTTTGTCCTTGTATGATCCAGTGCTGATAAGTTTTCTTGCTGCAGTGGCCTATACGACATGGTATTGTTGAAGACTGGGACCTCATGGAGAGATTCATGGAGCAGGTCATCTTTAAGTACCTTCGAGCTGAACCTGAGGATCACTATTTTTTAATGGTGAGTTAATGAAACCTGGCTGGGAAATATTTTCATAAGAGGAAAACAAAATAACTTTCCAAGGACAAGTACTGTGTTGAAGGATTTTTCTCTGTATGTCTTTTATTTCTTCAGCAACAAGAGGGTTTGGGGTGGGAGGAGAAAAGTAATCTGTAAAGCTGCATTATAACTATATTCAGTTAATTTTGTGATGCAGGTTGAATTTTTGTTTTGAAAATCTGCAAACACTTCTTGTTTAAATTTTGTTTGCAATTTTGTTTTGAGTGCACTGAGAATTTTAAAAGTTTGGTTACCATACTAAGCTATTCAATGTAGATTCTATTGAGGTGCTTTTTCAAAACTTTGTTTTTGCAGACAGAGCCTCCACTGAACACCCCAGAAAACAGAGAGTATCTTGCAGAAATCATGTTTGAATCGTTTAACATCCCAGGACTTTACATTGCTGTTCAGGTGAACAAAATGAATGTGTACTTCTGAAGTACAGTATAGCTGCAGTATGTATAGTCTTCTGAATGCATATGTCTAAAATGTTTGAAGCAGTATTTTCTAAGACTACATCAGCACACTCTGCCTGCTTCTAAATATAAACTCTTTCTGCTTTAGGCAGTGTTGGCCTTAGCTGCCTCCTGGACGTCACGGCAGGTTGGAGAACGTACTTTGACTGGAACTGTCATCGATAGTGGTGATGGAGTGACCCACGTAATTCCTGTGGTATGTAGCAGGATGCAGTTTGAAATTAGCAGTGGTTTGGACAAGTACAGGGTTTGTTTGCTGCAGATTTAAAAAGAAGTGTTAAATGCAACTTGATTTTTAAATTTTTAGTGTTTGGGATTTTTTTCCTTCCTTAGAATTGCTTTGCAAAGTATATAGTTTATTAAGTCAACTTAGTTATGCAATTAATTTACTTTGCAGACTGTAAGAACATCACAATAAGGAACCATCAGGCCATCTTTAAAAGTCTATTTTTATATAAAACCTCATCTTACATTAATGTAATGCCTCAGTTCTGTTCAATATCAATGATTATCATGGGTTTGGGTCTCCTGCATGCCACCAGTGTTTGACAAGAAATGTCCTAGCTTTTTTCATGTCCTTCATTTTGATTGTTTAATATAGCTGGTGATGTGTGCTTTTTGTATGATTTTATCATATTTTGCTGTTTACACACCACTTCCGTGGAAACAACTATGAACATGCCTGTTCACAATCATGGTCAAGCTCATCAGTTTAATTATGTGAGGATGTTAAAAATACAGAGCTATCTGTGCATAGTGACATCTGTTCTGTTGATGTCACTTGTGGATTTCTGAAGCATATAGTGTGCTTGAATGATCAGGTATTTTAGAAATGAGAATCTGATTCCCTTTAACTTCATCTTGTATTTTGATATTAACCTGATCTTAGTATTTTTGTCATATGGGCAATGCTGTGAACAAACAGCATTTACTGTATGGTATGAAACTCTGAAAAGTGTTAAAAAAAAAAGAAAAAGCAAGGGAAGAAATAATGCGGCTCAGCAACACCAGTGTTTTCAGTAAATGTATCCTCAAAAAATTCTGCAAATATACTTCTGATTTTTATTGTGATTTTAGATGCTGTTTCATTTGATTTTTGTTGTCTGAGAAATTTAATAAATTTGGTTTTTCCTATTAATTTTTCACCTTCAAACAGGATACAAGAGATCTATTTATATTACATTTGCTTTTCAGATGATGCCTTAAAGGAACCATCTGATCTGACTCTGTCTATCACTCGTATATTTATTAGATAATCAATATCAATTTAAATGTGGTGGTCAAGGTCTTTTAAATAAAAATAATCCTCACTTTACAATGGGGAGGCACATTTTAATAGAGATTTTACTTTTAATTGAAAAGCAAAGTAGTATAAAAATGAATGCTAATTATTGATACACTGTAGTTTTTTCCCTTAAATATTTTTTCCCTCTCCTCCTACATAGGCAGAAGGCTATGTAATTGGAAGTTGCATCAAACATATTCCTATTGCAGGTAGAGATATTACTTACTTTATTCAACAACTCCTAAGGGAAAGGGAGGTGGGAATTCCTCCTGAACAATCTCTGGAGACAGCAAAAGCCATAAAGGTACAGCCTTCTTTATCTCTCAGTAACTACTTAAATAAATCTCCGTGAGCTAATTTTTTGGCTCTAAGTTGCCAGTGACTCTCTTGAAAATGCAAATGTAGGCAGTGTATTGTAATTACAACAGCTTCTGGGGGTTTATCCAATCAAGTGCAGGGGAAGGAGAAAGAGGAAGAAAGTATTCATGCTAGACTGTTTGGAGTGAATATGTTCTGCAGATTAAATCAGCATTTTAACCTTTAGATTTGTTTAAAATGTGCTTTGTAATTTACAAAAAAATTTAATGTAGGGTGATTATGTGGGTCTGGCCTTGCAGTGTAAGCTTGCCCTTATTGTCACAGAGCTAATGTTGGTGATGTTTTCATTTTGAGACTAATCTAGCTGAGTCAGCATGCAGCCCTGTGGGTACAAATGGGCCACGTGCCTTGGCTCGTGGGGTTGTCTTCAGTAGTCATCCGGGTGAGAAAGTCTCTGGACAGCCCCACCTGTAAGAATGCTCACACAGTTTTGTTTTCTCTTTGGGTTACACTTTAATTCACTGGTGTAATAATTATTTCAGCTCTTTTTATTGCCTTCAATTTCTTAACAGGAAAAATACTGCTACATTTGCCCTGACATCGTGAAAGAGTTTGCCAAATATGATGGAGATTCTCGAAAATGGATCAAACAATACACTGGCATCAATGCAATCAACAAAACCAAGTTTGTTATAGATGTTGGTTATGAAAGGTTCCTTGGGCCTGAAATTTTCTTTCATCCTGAGGTAAGAAGAGGGGCTAGAAATGAGAAGCTATAGAAGTGTCCATTTGCCCTGACATCGTGAAAGAGTTTGCCAAATATGATGGAGATTCTCGAAAATGGATCAAACAATACACTGGCATCAATGCAATCAACAAAACCAAGTTTGTTATAGATGTTGGTTATGAAAGGTTCCTTGGGCCTGAAATTTTCTTTCATCCTGAGGTAAGAAGAGGGGCTAGAAATGAGAAGCTATAGAAGTGTCACTGCAAGTGGAGAGGGGCAGTGCTGGTTGGTGCCTGTACGCCCTCCCGTGGCAGTGAGGGACCAGCGAAGCTCCTGACTGCAAGCCAGGTACACCCTCGGGTAACTTAAGCCCAGAAAAACATGACTACAGCAAATGGTTATTTTTCTAATGTCCCATGTAACGTTTAAAACATCATATTCTGTCTCTTTAAAGGCAATCCTAAAGTTAAAAGATACAGGTTTTGTGTGATATTTTCCTGCTTTCTTTCAGCATTGGTTTAAACCACTATGCCTTTATACTGTGGGTTTGATTGTGTTGCCAATCCCTTTGGACACCACTCTGCAGGACAGCATTGCATTGATAGTATTGTAAATATTGCACACTGAGTTTTGATACTGAGCCAATTTGTAGAGCATGGATGATAAACTTGTCCTTGAGTGAAGTCCACTGAATCAGTAATGTCATAAGTAACATGTACAATTCTGGGAAACCTTACAATACGTAGTCTGTCTGATTTTCAGTAGCTCAGTTTCAGTGACTTTCAGGATATTGTTAAATTGTGGGAGAGGAAAGAGCCAAGTGTTAATACACTGTAGCATAGCAGAGGAGGTCCTCTCCATTCCTGCGAGCTCTCTTGAGTTTATAGCAGGCACCCATTGTCTGTAATACTATTAAACACTTTTATTAAAATCCTCATAAACACTGGTGAAGTTTCCCTGTCTCTACCCTCTTCTTCTCAGAAGAATATTAAAGAAACCTCCTTCTGTCACCTCTTCTCTGAATTCCAGACTTAATCTCCTGAGGTCAGTTTGTATCCATCTGATCTTCTGCCAGTATTAAACCTCTGGGTTAAATAGTTTTTCTGCCCTGCTGTTTGCCCATGTAGTCTTACAGAGAGGCATTGAATCCCATGTCAGACATCTTTTTAAGAGCTCCTCTTTCCATAGTCTGTACAAAGACTGTTGGGAACAGGACAAAGGACTAATTTTGGTTTTTTTATTTTCATTTCTTAATAGTTTCTTGACTCTGCATCGAAAAAAAAATCCCCAAAAAATAGCAAATCAAACCTGAAATGACTTTCTAGACAAGAAAAACACACTAGATATGTCGTGCATCCAAAGAGAATTTCTTGTTGGACTTCATTAATTCTTGACTTCAAAGGGTATAAAATTAGCTAGGTAAAAGCTGCCTTTTGGTAAAGCTCCTTGTAATCTTTTCCTGTTTTCAATTTACAGAAGTTGTTCTGAAGTCTTTAATACTCTTGAAGTTAGGCCTTGGGGTTTGTAGTTATCCAGATTATTTCTCTGGTTTTTAAATGAGGTGTTTTACTTGCTATTCTCCAACCAGGTGTTACTTGCTAGCAGACCTCAATTTCACATGTCAGTTTCCTTGTCCCTGTTCTGGAAGTATGTTATACTCTGCTTTGGGTGCCATAACTCTCATTTCCACTTATTCCTTTTGCCCTGCTGTTTTAGCTTGGGAGAAGTTTTCTGGCTCTAGCTCGTTCAGATGAGAACTCTGCATGAAGCAACACTGCTTCTTTCTTTTAATAGTTGTAGCTTCATGTTTTAGCTTCTTGTGTGATTAATTCTTACTATGGCAATTAGCTTGAATTCTTGGGGATTTTTCACATAATTCTTATGGCTCCAAGCCAACCCTTCGCTAGTTTCTCTCAGTTCAATGTATACTTGTTGTGTTTGGCTTTTGTTATTCATCCAGTTGGATACCTCATCTTGTTTAGTTTGTAAATCCCACATAGCTCCTACACCTCTGGGAAAGTTTCTAAGTTATACAATGTATCTAGAATAATATGTTGTTTTGTATTGATAGTTAATTTAATTTCTCAGAGTTGAACCTCTGAAAGGACAAAATCTAGGCTATGAACACTTCCTTTTCTTTTAAACACTTAAAACTTTTTTTTTTAAAGCTCATGTTAATTTTTAAGTGGAAAAAATTGCCTCAAGACTAAGAATGTTTTCTAGCATTAACATTTCTGACTCTCTAGTATTTATAAATTTATAAATTTACATTATCAGTGTATTGATGTTTGCATCGATGGGGACTTGCACTCAAAACCTTAGACTATTTATGCCTTTTTGAATGTTAGACACATTCATAGAATCATAGCATCAACCAGGTTGGAAAGACCTTCAAGATCATTGAGTCCAACCCTACTGTTGTTACTAGACCATGGCACTAAGTGCCACATCCAGTCTCATCTTGAAAACTTCCATGGATGGTGAATCCACCATCTCCCCAGGCAGCCCATTCCAATGCCTTTCTGTGCTTGGAAAAGAATCTGACTTTATGGTGGGAATTTAACTAAAGTGTATTAGTAGGGTTGAAACTTTTTTACAGGGAAACCTTCCGATTTTCACACTGATATATTTTTCTCTCACTGAGAAGGAAAGGCAGGACCACACTGCGCAGGAGCAGTATGTTCAGTATTGCAGGAGAACTCATGTCACAGGCAATGGAAGGTCCACAGTGCATAAATTGTAAATAGTGAATTTATTGCCAAGGAGGAGAATCTGAATTTCTCAGCAGAAAACGGAATTATCATTTCTCTTGTACAGAAGTGTGTTTGTTATTATGTAGAATAAGTGGTGAGCAAGACTTTGATTCCTATGTGTCCCCTATTACAAAATCTCTTCACAGTCTCATTACTGTCGTTTTTGTTCTCCATTTTTGGGATGAAAAATCTAATGCCTGTTCTGTTTCATTTTAGTTTGCTAATCCTGATTTCATGGAATCCATTTCGGATGTAGTTGATGAAGTTATACAGAACTGTCCCATTGATGTCCGGCGTCCATTATATAAGGTATGGTCTTCCTGTTGTAAGATTAATGTCATTTATTTAAACACTAAATATCAACAACATCATCAAAAGCGTGTGCAGAGCTACCACTTCCCCCACTATGACAAATGTCAACTTTGAATAGAAATAAAGTTCAAGGTAAACAAAGTGCCACTTCTGAATGCCTCTTGATATTTGCTGCTTTTTATTTTTGAAAGAGAGGTACCTGTAATGGCTTGATGCATAGGTAAGTATTGCCCATGAGGAGCTGGGATAGAAGGATGTTATTGGTATCTTGACATATGTAATGTGAATTCTTATACATGAAGAACTTTGGCTTTTGCTGATTGTAAGGGTTATATCATTGTCTCACCCCTCTCACTCTTCTCCGCCCCCTGCTTTATTAAGTACTGATTTCAAATACATATTTTTTTCCATAGTCTTGTGTTGTACCTGCCTACTGCAGGTTTAGCCAGTATTGAACCAGTGGTAAAGTACATGGAAACTTCAAATATTTTAGGAGACAATAATTAGGCCATCTTAAACCTGCCCAGGTTGTAGTCCAGAGAGTACCTTCAGTCCCTGATTCTTAAGTGAAAATTAAAGTGCTGTCATGCATAGTCCATGGCAAGCTCTGGGTGTATTGGCAGCACATTCTGTGCTTCCCAGTTTTCTGTTTGTGCAGCAGCAGTGCCATTTTGGAAATAACAGAATAAAGCAATAGCATGGAGAGGTTTGCTTGCTCATGTAAAAGGTGGTAGTTTTCCTCACCTGTTAGAGTGAGCATTTAGTTCCAACTCATATGTCAGTGTGATTTGTGACTATTAAAATTCTGCAGTCTGGTTTACTTGTCTAGTAAACATACTTTTTAATCTAGAATGAGATGTAGTGCTTCAGAGCAAATTTGTGGGGCAGGTTAAAGTGGGAAGTTAAACTGCTTAACAAGCATATATGTGGAGTGAATTCTGCAATAGATGTTTTCCATGGCTTCAAGCTAAAGTATGTTGCAGAAGGGTTTAGGATACCCTTAGTGTGTGGTTGTGCTTTAAGTCTCTGCTTTTTACCAAAAAGACCAAAGTTGCCCTAGAGCAACAGCTTTTTTGCTTGGTATAGGGTAGGGATTAGTACTGACTTCCAGAAAGTGGTATTTAAAAGTTGAGGTTACTCTTGCCTCACCATACTCAGTAGACAAATAACTTTGTCTTGGCTTGCTACTGATTGAGACATTTGGCTTTTCTTTTTCTGTTTGTCATTATACTTGCTTAGTTAAAATAATATTGCACATTTACCTGTTGAATGTAATGATAGATGTCAGTAGTTATTAATGCTGGTAGCTACTATCTTCTTTAAGCAAGGTCACTGCAAAGAATGAGCATCTCTGTTCTCATTGTTTAAAACCATGTGTAGGTGCAGAAATAGTCCACTCATAATTTCCCTTAGTTTCTGGGGTTTATCTGTTTTGCTTGCCCACAGTGCTGGGTGGTGGCCAGCCAAAGCTTTGAAGCTGGATTTCCATCAAATATATATGTATTCTTCCTCAGTGTTTCTCCAGAAAATACCTAAAAGTACCCTTCTTGCAGATTTTATGTGGTATGTAGCCTTTGAATCATTGTTGAACAGCCCATTTTTGATGTCCTGTGGTATATCTCTTTTTTGAGTTATATTACTGGTATCCCAGTTTCCCAATCTGATCAGCATTTCTCTTACAAGGCCAGTTGTCTTACCCCCTGTTGATGTGTGGACCAGCAGGACCTTTGTAAGACTGACTTCTTCAACCAGATCCCATAGCCTGCAGCTGTTCACTACCAAATACAAACATTCTTTCACACATGATGAAGCCTTTTTTAATTGTATAATGGTTGCCAGCAGTGCACTCACTAATTCCCGTGATTGCACCATGTTAACGTGACTTCTTGGAAGAACAGATTTATATTCTTACTCTGTGTGTCTCTGTGTCTCTAACAGAGTTGAGACTTCTGGATTGCTTTGGATGAGTTGCTTCCTGCTAAACTAGAAGATAGGGAGGCTGTTTGTTTTGAAACCAGGGGGCTTGCATTGAAAGTTGAAGAAATAAGGTGGGCTTAGGTTTCTTTTGGTTTGTGTTTGTTGGGTTTTTTTGCTAGCAAACCCAAATCTTCAGAAAGCAGATTGAAATTTCAAGTGAGTGCTCAAATGAAATGATAGAGGAGTAATTTTGGATCTTGCCACATGGCCAGTCAGATGCCCAGGATCCTGGGGGCACTGTCTGGGCTTGGGTGGGGTATATTTTATGGATGGGTTTCTCTGCTCCAAAGACAGATTTCTCACTTTCAGTGTAGTTGCTATGTTCAGTATGTTCTTTCAGGCCTTTCTGGAGATGGGTTGGAGGGCTCTGGGTGGCTTTGGTGGTCATAATTCCCCCATGCAGTCCATGCCCACTTCTTGGCCTCATTGCTGCTTTCATGTGATACTGTGTTGTTCCTATCTCCAGAAGCTACAACAAGGATGTTTGTCCCAGAAAAGTGCTGCCTTATCTTCATGTGGTCTCCCTTCTCCAGCCAAATCTTGTTCTTTCTCACAGCTTGTTAATACCAACAGTCCTTGCTTATTACCAACAATCCTTGTCTCTGATTACCAACAGTCCTTGGTTGGCTCCACAGCCATCCCGTTATCATGTTTGAGACATACACATTAGCCCCTTATCTTCTGGGACCGAGAGCTCAAAGGGTCACTCAGAACCACTGTTTATAGGGTTGCAAGAGAGTGGGCTTTAGTCATGCTAATTTTGCATCCTGGCCACAATTCAAGTCAGTAACTTTCGTTGAATGTTCAATAACAAAAATGTTATTCCGCTTGGGTTGTTATTCAGACAATAAAGATAAATATTCAAGGCTGTGTGTTAAAAGCAGGTGCTTGCTAGACAGCACTAGTTCCTGGGAACAAACTGTTTCTGATAAGCTCAAGAGGGACTTAGTCCAGGTGCAGTTCATCAAGATTGAAGCCTAATGAGCATTTCTTAGGCTATAGAATTATATATTTCTTAGGCCTGGGGCAGGGGATGCACCACCATAATCCACTCTGCAACTGAAGTCAGCTTCTCTGGGCCTCTACAAAAAGATCCTAGCCAGTCATTTAAATATTCATGATTCAGATGATGAATAATCAAGTGATAATATCCTTGACCTCAAACTTTTAAGCCAACTTTTCAAGCTGCAAACACTGCATGAGGTGGGGATTGTCGCGTATTGGCAAGTGTGGTGTTTTATTGTAGATGAACTGTCCAGGATTTCTGTGGAAGTGTAAGTGCACAGAGACAGGATTTTAACAATATTGGCCCTTTTCCTTAGAGAAGGTGACTTTAGCTGGGCGTGCAGCTATTGTGGACAGTAGCAAACTTGAGCTTGTTGCTACAATTAAGATTTGGACTGTACTTGTGTCAGTGTTTACCCAGCAAGTTCAGCTGTTGCTTTCCCAGCTCATAACAGCTCATCCTCAAGGGGTGTGGGAGGCTAACAGAGTGGTAAAACATCCCCCTGAAATCAATTCTGACTTGAACTGCTGGTAAATAGAAATGCCTGTTGTGAAAACAGCTCCAGCTGCACTGTGTGGTGGGTAGATGGCACTGTTCAACTGACTTTGCTGATCTGTGCTCTAGATCAGCATGACAACCGTCTGCTATTACTGACTGGGAGGCTCTGTGAGTTCAACTGACTTTGCTGATCTGTGCTCCAGATCAGCATGACAGCCGTCTGCTATTACTGACTCCGTGCAGAGCTGGAAGGCTCTGTGGGTGAGGTAAGGCTGGAGAGATGCAGACCAGGAGATCTGCATCATATTGGCTCTGGTGATAGGACATGGGAAAGGAACAGTAATCCTCCTACTTCAAGTGGAAGCCCCAAGTGACTAACACTGTTAGTGTAGCACAGGAATACTGAGGAGAAGGCTTGTTTATTCCTATCACAGCAGTATTTAAATTTATAACATTACTCCTGCTAGTTGGTTTAACAGGAGACCAATAAATCTGCAGGATCTTGTGGTTACTTCTGTGCGTGAGTGCAGGTATATTTTTGTGGAACAGCACAACCATAAGTCATGCTGAAATGTTTTGCTATGAATTGAACTGGTAAGTGAATATTGAAAATCGTGATTTTAAAGAAAAAGAAATAATTTCTTCATCATTAAAAGTAAACTTATTAAAGAAGAGTGTTTCTCACAATACATTTACTTCTTTGTAACATATTTGGTTGTAATTGTTGTTTGGTATGTACAATATTTCTTCTTATGCTTTCCATGTAACATTGGCAATTAGTGCCTGGCTTTAATTAAATTAAGAGAGGCATGTAGATTAATTGATTCACTTGCTAATGAAGTGCTTGGCTTCAGCTTGTGAACCTTCCAGTTTTTACCCATAGCCATTTTTATTAACAGTGATATATTGGTCTCATTACCTGTCTCTGTTGGTCTGGTTGTGTCATGCTAACCTTAATTTAGACTGTCATGTGGAAGGAAGGGAAACTGGGAAGTGTTGTCCTTATTTACCAAAAGAGCAGTGGATGCTTTTCAGTTACGTGCTGCAAAGTCTGAAGTGACCAGCTGAGAGTGTGCTTATACCATGGAACAGTGTGAAGATGCACAAATGAGTTCAGCACCTTGTGTTTGGTGGCACTGAGTTCTACAGAAGCTAATTTAACTCTTGGGAATTTTTATGTAAACTTGATTTAGCTAGAGATTTCTGTTAGAGTAACTAGGTTGTTTTGTTGGGTAAGTTGTTCACATCTCTGCAGCATTACACTGTATAGGCATAATACAACAAATAGTATGAAGAGAAACTCTGCATCAGAGAGTTCATCGGAGATGCAAAGGGTATGGATGAGAAGGGAGAAATGCCCTGCTGGCCCTCTGAGATGATTGGTATCCATTCCCCTGGTTTCCTTCCAGAAATAGCCTACCTTCATTGTTTATTTATTGTGGTGAACTTTGTCAGGTGTATGGGAGGTCTTCATTCCTCTCTTCCAAGGAAACACATTCTTTTGAAACAATTTTTCCACCAGTTAGCTGTAAAGGTAAAAATCAGCTGGAGATTCTGTGCATCAGCAGGTATGATAATTGGTGTTAGTGAGAAACGTTGGGCTGCTTAGAGCTGTTAAACCCACCACAGTGTGTTTCAGCAGAGTAACATCAGAAGAAGTCTTCTTTAAAGGAATCAGCTCGAAATAGATATTAGTGCTTAACTTCCTTGATGTCTTTTTCTGGAAGGCCAAAGAATTCCCAGGCAGACTGAAAACCCAAACATCCCTAATAAGCTTTCTTCACAGATGTACTCAGCATGCTTTGTTGTATTTTTGTTAAGTAGTTACTGGAATTACCCAGTTACTCTTCAGGTGTTTGCTGGAGGGGTTGGTTTCTTGATTGTGTTTTGGGGTTTATGTTATGAGTGGTTTTTTGTTTTAGTCTGACAGTCTTTTCCCACCTTCATTTTGTCCTCTGTAGGTGGTGGGTGTGGTGTTTGAGGGGTGGTGAATGTGTATGGATTCTGCTTTCACTGTGAGTGAGGTGTACATGGCCTCTAACCTCCTTGCAGGAGTCTGACCTGCTAAGTTGTGATAACTTACCAGAGGCCATATGTGGAAAGTCTTCTACTACAGAGTTAGCACAGTTTTGTTCTGGTGCTGACAAGAAGTGCAGGGAGCAGGGGAATTGTAGCTGTGTAATTAACCATCCGATAATGGCAGTTGTGTCACCTCGTTAATTATATCCAAATTCTGCTCGGCCTAGCTTGTCCAAATATGTGACAATGAAGTGACTCATCTTCTCAACATGTGTACCCTAATGCTCCTGTTCTCCTTGGCCAGTGTTATTGTTAAATTGATTTCAGTGTGTAGAAGTACTTGAATAATCATAATCTGAAGAAGGTGTAACCTCTTAACCTCTAACCCTGGAATGATAACTAAATTGGTGGAAAGATCCTTCCAGTGCTACTGGAAGTTACTATGTAGTTGCATGAGTTGGTCCTGGATGTATTAGAAAAATTATTCTGTGGTGTATTCTGAAATCTATTTTTAGTGGTAGCATTGTCCACTTTATGGAGTATGCTTGAAATTTAGTTTGCTTTGAATAGAATTATTGCTTTCACCGTCTTTGCCAACTTCATTACCTCCAGGTAATATTTTCTGATGGCATCTTTTTAATTGCTATTTCATCATTCAGCTTGGTCGTTGTCTTCCCCCTGCACCATTAGCAATTTCCTTTCCCCGTGTGGCGTGCATGACCACTTTGAGGCAGGGGAAGAGATGTTCTTATGTTTAGGAGAAGGACAGATAATCTCCCTCATGCTTTAATTTTAGGACCAGCTGTGATTTTTGGCTCCCTCTTACACCTATGGCTCCTTTCTTCTTCTCTGTCCTCTTTCTTTTGGGAAATGTTTTAGTAATGTTATGGGGATGTGTGTGTTTTTTTTAAGCGTGCCTGCCTGGGTATGCATTCTTTTATACTGTAGATAATCTAAAGCTGTGAAGAAATTATTTTTTCCTACTGTAATGTTTTTTATGATGTGCAGGGATTTTTTATTACGTGAGTAAACAAACAGCTTTCTTCTCACTTTACAAGGTACAAAAAAGATTTTCTTTGCTATCTGTTGCTTTAAATCCAAGCACTTCTGCACCCTGCAAGTGTGAATGATTATTATGTATGTCTTTGACTCTTCAGATCTGTGTGCAGGCTGAAAACAGCAGGTTAGGGATTCTTTCATTACCTGCATGGTCTGCAACATCAGAAACTGTTACTGAGAGGTAACCCTTTGACCTGTGTATAATGAACTCCTGATCCATGTTCCTTGTGGACACATGTCTAAGGCATGTGAGTGGTTCTAGTGCTGATTGGCACTTGGGGTTGCAGTTGCAGCACTATGCAAGGGCACACATGCATTTTTGTCACAAAGAGTTCATTTTTCTGATTATGAGTTGCATTTTTGATGTCACTGAGGTTATCTTCTGGGGTTCCTGTTTTGAATCCCCCACCTTTACAATTAATTCTGTGTTAGTCTGTGATGCCACAACCTTATCAGATTTGAGGATGGGATGTTCCAAATTGTCTGTTCAGAATCCAAGTACAAGTCCAGGCTAAGAGGCTTTTGCTTATGCTCTGAAAACTAAGTAATACCAGTCAAACAGGGGAAGAGGCAGTGTACCTTTTTCTGTGCTACAGTCCTCTTTGGAGGTGTGGTGCCTTTTTGAAGAACAATGGGCCTGGCTGGTTGCTATGTTGAGAAGTTTAACTCTTAAAATAAAAAAAAAAATCAAGTTCTAGATAATTTTATAGCTTTTGGAAAGATGCTAATGTAATATGATGAGTCTTGAGCCTTATTTAGTACCAGGAGTAAAACTGCTTAGTATGAGCATCTCTGGGAAATTTCTAGATGTAGTGTTGTATTTCTGCTGCTCTGCACATGTAGGGTACTAGCTCACTGTTTTAATGGAATCCTTTCTTTTGTAGTAGTATATTCTACATAAAACTCTTCTTTAAAGGGAGAAGAAAGAAAGTAGGGGACCAAGAACCTCCTACAGAAATTGAGCAATGCTTAAAGTGCGCCCAGGTGGCCAAGAAGACCAATGACATCCTGGTCTGCATCAGAAATAGTGTGGCAAGCAGGACTAGGGAAATGATTCTCCCCCCATACTCACCAGTGGTGAGGCACCTCAAGTCCTCTGTCCAGTTCTGGGCCTCTCACTTCAAGAAAGACATTGAGGTGCTGGAGTGAGTCTGGAGAAGGGCAGCAGTGCTGAGGAAGGGTCCAGAGCACAAGTGCTGTGAAGAGTGTCTGTGGGAGCTGGGGGTGTTTAGCCTGGAGAAAAAGAGACTCAGGGGTGACCTTATCACTCTCTACAACTACCTGAAAGGAGGTGGTAGCCAGGTGGGAGTCAGTCTCTTCTCCGAGGCACCTAGCAGTAGGATGAGAGGACATAGTCTTAAGCTGCACCAGGGCAGGTTTAGGTTGGACATGAGGAGTGATTTCTTCACAGAAAGGGTAATTAGACATTGGAATGCGGTGCCCAGGGAAGTGAAGTCACCATCCCTGGAGTTCTTTAAGAAGAGACTAGATGTTGCACTTAGTGCCACAGTCTAGTTGGCATGGTGGTGTTTGGTCATAGGTTGGACTTGGTGGTCTTGGAGGTCTTTTTCCAGCCTACTTGGTTCTGTGATCTCTGTAGCTTGTCAGCTTTCTAATGATGTTAAATCCAAATAGTCACCTTGGCAATGTTGGCTGTTGGGGAACTTTCTTGAATCTGTATTTACAGAATGTGTCTTTAATTTCTCTACAGAATGTGGTCCTTTCAGGAGGATCTACAATGTTCAGGGACTTTGGACGACGACTGCAAAGGGACTTGAAAAGAGTTGTGGACGCAAGATTGCGACTTAGTGAGGAACTCAGTGGTGGTCGGATAAAAGTAAGCAAACATTTCAAGTACTTTGTTTACATGAGTAGTGAAAGAAACTCCTCCCCCAGGCCACTAGTGACAGGATTAAGCTGCTCCAGGGAACTCTTACATTGGACGTTAGAAGGAATTTCTTCACAGAAAGGGTAATTAGACATTGGAATGCGGTGCCCAGGGAAGTGAAGTCACCATCCCTGGAGTTCTTTAAGAAGAGACTAGATGTTGCACTTAGTGCCACAGTCTAGTTGGCATGGTGGTGTTTGGTCATAGGTTGGACTTGGTGGTCTTGGAGGTCTTTTTCCAGCCTACTTGGTTCTGTGATCTCTGTAGCTTGTCAGCTTTCTAATGATGTTAAATCCAAATAGTCACCTTGGCAATGTTGGCTGTTGGGGAACTTTCTTGAATCTGTATTTACAGAATGTGTCTTTAATTTCTCTACAGAATGTGGTCCTTTCAGGAGGATCTACAATGTTCAGGGACTTTGGACGACGACTGCAAAGGGACTTGAAAAGAGTTGTGGACGCAAGATTGCGACTTAGTGAGGAACTCAGTGGTGGTCGGATAAAAGTAAGCAAACATTTCAAGTACTTTGTTTACATGAGTAGTGAAAGAAACCAAGTTCAAATTTTTCAGCTCACTAATGAGAATGCACTGTTGTAAAATCAGTGGTTTATGTGTATGTGTTGTGAAATGTATTGGTAGCCTTGCAATGTATGAAATGTCTTTACAGGAGTCTTATAGTTATTGTGAACAGTCTCTAGAGGCAGCTCTGGTTTCCCTTCTAGGAGACAGATGATCCTAGCAGTAGGCAAGAGGGATGTAGCTGTTGTGTCCTTCATCACAGTTAGCATTAAGTGTTTTATGACTTGATCTCCTAGATAACATGCCAGACTAGTAATAAGTGTGAGATAGTGATGTGAATGGAGGGATAAAGATGTCTGGGTCTGGAAATGTTTAGTTTGTGAAGATTTTGTCCGAAATTATAAACCAAGTAAATGTCAATTGTTTTTCCTTCTTTTTTAGCCCAAACCAGTTGAAGTTCAGGTGATAACACATCACATGCAGCGTTATGCAGTTTGGTTTGGCGGTTCCATGCTGGCTTCAACAGTAAGTCTTTATCAAAATTGTTCTAAATTTTTACATTTTTATTTCATGTTGTCTTCTGGGTATATTTGATCTGAGTACTAAGTTATAAGCCTTTCCGTTGTGACAGCCTAAACTCTGTCACGCTCTGGAATCCCTGCCCAAGTTTTATCTCAGTAAAATTTGCACAGGGCAAGTGGGAGCTTTACTTGGGTGAGGATATCAGGAGTTGACATAATTCTGAAGTAGCTTTTGTATGGTAATTGCAATATAGTCCCTTTATTCTTGAAGTCAGCACTAGAGATTAGCTATGACCTCAGGAATATAGGTTCCAAATCAATTGCTTATCCAAAGCAATTCCTGTCTCCAAAGTGGGAATGTTTAAAAGCAGTCTTCTGTCCAGACAAACTTTTCTTGGTTAATTGTATTCATATCCTAAGATTTCTTATTTTATTATATTTCAGAAATGTAATAGAACATCATAAAGCTTCAATCTGCAGAAACACTAAGATGTTATTTTATTGGGTTTTTTTTTACTTGATATATTCTTATACTTTTGAGGGGATTTCTTTTGTATTTTCACAGCCAGAGTTTTTTCAAGTATGTCACACCAAGAAAGACTATGAAGAGTATGGCCCTAGTATTTGTCGTCATAATCCTGTTTTTGGAGTCATGTCATAATGCTCATCTAATGGAAACAAGATCTCTGATATCTTGCTGGTGAGGGAACTCATGCAGTGCTGAGGAAGGCAGCAGAGACTGTAAATACTGAAGCAAGATGCACTTAACTCTTGGAACCATTTGGATCACCATCGTGCACTAAAGCACAACTTACAGCCCCAAGTCATTTCAGCACGAGCCATTTCTCTGCTGACTGCTCAGAGCCTATCCTTTCTTCCTAAATGTGAGGTAATTGAAAATAGGTAAGTCTCAGTTTAGGAGGTTGTGCAAATGCTACTGAAACTGAACCCAGAAGAATAAGGCAGTGTTTTGCTGCTTGTGGAAAGATTGAAACCTTTCTCACTTGTGCCCTGAGTTTGCAATCAAATCTTTAGCAATGGAGCACTAAATACCACATTGCCTTTAGCGGAGTTGGAATGGATACAGGTACCTACCCAAATGGAATAGATTCCAGGAATGGGACAGTACTTTGTAAAGTAGGTTTTCATATCATTTTGAATGTTATGATACTGGTAGGGTGAATTGATGAGGTAGTTCTAAGCACGAACAGCTATCAATGTCATGGAGTGATGTTATGCATTTCCAGGTGTGAGGAATGTAGTGGAGTTGTGCTGTTATTTTTTTGGGGGGGGAAAAAAAGCCATGTATGATAGAAACTGATCTGTTCATGTTTGGATGACACAAAGTGATTTGCAGTATTGTATGAAGTTTACTATAGCCACTGTTACTTTGTTTTGAATTTTCTGAAACTGTTTTATAGGAGATGATGTTTTGTTTTGATGTTGGTGAGTGGTGGATGAAACATGGGCCTTGCACCAGTGAAATAAAAGCTGTTAACATCTTTATGAATGTTGTGATAGTCCTGATTTTTGTACTCCCCCACTGCATCTCACAAGGTTAGCTTTGCATTTATATGTCAGTGTATATGGAATCACAGTGACATTAGATTCAAAGGGATTGTTGGAGATTTCCCATCCAGGCTCCTGCTCAGTGCAGGGCTCACTTCATAGTCACCTCTGGTTGTTCAGGGTCAGTCCAATTTTTGTGAATGGAGGTTTCTGAACATCTGGGCAACTTGTTCCAGGGTTTAACTACTCTGCTTATGGGTACATGCCCTTGTGTTATGGACACGTGTTAAATCTAAGAGTAGGAAATCCTACCTATTCTGTCTGTGCTGATATTTATCTGATCTCTGTCAGCAGAGGTTTTGTACAATTTTTGAAGCCCAATAAGAATTTTGCAAGACAAATCAATTTGGTTTTAGCTGGCATGGAGAGACTGAGACCAAACAATTATTTATTCAGCATAAATTAGAAATTAAACAAAATGGGACTCCATGACTCAAGCCTACTTCTGAATGCTTTTGAACTTAAAGCTCAGCTCTCAGGAGAAAAACATTGAAGCACAATTTGCTCAATTCTCTCACTAGGAAAGAAATGGGCAATCTAATATAGTTCATGCTGTCTCAGCTTGTTGCAGTGTTACATCTCCTTGTCTGTGTTTAAATCTGTGCTTCAAGCTTGTTACTGCACTCTGAAGTCAGGCTTCAGAGGAAGAGTCATATGTTTGGTGTGCTGAGCAAATGAGGGCTAAAGCACTGACACACACACATGGTGCTACAAAATAGGGAATGCTGGGAATGTGGCATGGTTACATGTGTCCTCCAAACAGTTATAGCCAGGCATTGAGGTCTCAAAGTTAGCAGGAGGTAGTATTTTTTGTTAAAAACTACTGTCATAAGGCATGGGCACCCATTTTTTTTGGGGGGGGAGGGGGGAACTTTTTTTAAAAAGTGAGCAAGTCTTGCATTGAAAACAAATGAGGAAATGTGCTCATGTTCATTGGTCTTGAAAAATCATTGTTAGCAAAAATACAGGATGTTTGAATGTTTTGGAACTGAGTTTCCCTGTTCTTCAACTTTTTGGAAGGCTGACCTACCAACCACACTACAGACCATGTGAGTTTAAAATAGTTATTGGGAAGTAAAAAATGTAAGATGAGAGTTGTCAGAGGACAAATACAAATGTGAGTTGTTAGTCCTTCTTCTGTCTTTCTGACTGCTGTTGGGATAATTTAAGCTTAAGGGCAAGTAAGCTTGCCTTTTCAATTGTTTTTCATGTATTTCTTGCAAAAAGTTAATGAATAGCCACAACGGCCTTGAATATGCTCACGTCTCCTTCTGTTTTGGGTGCTCACCCAAGAAGGAGCACATGGATGTTGAATTGTCTTGGACAGAGGAAGGAATTGAACCCAACACTTACACCAGAAGGGCCAGCAGGTACCTAGTCCACCTTCAGGTGCTTACACACCTGCAGTTACTAGTGCACTTCTGAACAGTCTGGTTTCTGGAGCGCTTTCTCCGAACCTAATGCATCAGGGTACATTTCTGCAGCCTGGTGAGGCTGAAGTTTGCTGCTCTAATAGCTCTTGTTGGAGGGGTTGTGGTCCTACTTTGTCCCTGGAGCAGGCTCTGGTGATCACAGGACACTTCTGAGAGATGATTTAACCATGCAGGAAGCTCTGCCTCACCCCTCTTCTCTTGAATGCTGTGATCTGTTGGATTATCTCACCATGCCTGGTGGAACAGCAAGTTTATGAATAAAGCAATAAACCTGGACCTAAACTGGTCTTGAGCTTTGCTGCTGCTTTTTTGTCTCGTTAGGTTATTTCCTCTGGTTTGTGGTGGGATTTTTTTGTTTTGTTGGTTTGTGTGGGTTTGTGGGGATTTTTGCTTTTGTATTTTTTTTAAAATTGATTTGTAGAATGCCTTGAAAATCTATTGAAAAGCAATTCAAAGGTCTAGATCAACAGCATGGCTTCAGTGGTGGGACTGCATGGAGGCAGAGCATAGGTAAGCTAAACTGCAGCAAGAAGTTCAGTCTGATCTGCATAGCTATAATTGGGGCTTCTGGCTTTTCTCAGGATTTATGATACCATGTGCCTATTAGAAAAAGGGATTAACTTTGACTTGATTTGAGTCAATGCTCTAGAAGTGGAAGGTATTGTCACCTGCTTTTACCAATCTTCTGTGCCTTTTTCCTTTTCTCAGTCGTGTTTAAAAACACTTCAGGCTGTTCCAAACCTGAAAAGCATTGTGCATATGTTCAGTGTGGTGCTTTCAATTAGCTACAATTAGTGAAGTCTTGACATGAATTGGAGTACTGATCTTTCTGTAAATAATTCATTCTTTATGATCGCTGGGTTCTCTCTCATCCGGAGAAATTGCTGTTGTGTCAAACAAGTGTTGGAGATGGAACAAGTGAAAACCTTATTAAAAACCACAAGGGATCTGGAACAGAGATACGCAGCCTCCAGCTTAATTGGAAAGTGTGTTGCATAATATTAAGAAGTGCTGCATGGTGCCTTCAGATAGTTACAGAAAATGAAAACTCAGGTAAAACTATGGCAAAGGAATAGCGTTATCCCACGCTCATACACTGGTCTTTAGCAAGAGCATTTTTGCAACAGGTAAAGGAAAAACACAAAGCAAGTAGTGGAGGGGAGTGTCTGCAAGCTAAACATACGTGGTGGAAGGCAGGCACAATGGTATGTATTCATGTGTTGCTTTTGTGGCCACTTTTGTTCTTAGTATTTCACATCTGGTGATTCCCCTGTCAACACTCAAGGCCTGATCCAAAGTCAGTGGAAAAAGACTTCTCTTTGGCATTATTGATCTTGTAATATTTTACATTCTTTTCCATTTATTACTGCCACTTGCCCTGTCAGTCTTAGCCATGCAGCATCATTTCAGGCAGGTCACTTCATTTCTGTGTGCTGACCTTTTCCTAGGGACTGCCTCTTAGACAACACCTTAGTGCCTAGTATGTCTGCTCTGACATAAGTGACAAATCCTTAGGTGCAGATGTGTGACAAGGTCACTTTGGCATCAAAGAGAGTAGTACAATTACATTTTGAGGGCAATTTATCTCATCCTAGCATATGCAAACAGGTTGGTTGCCTTACATATTTGGCAGTGCTTTCTCCATTCAGTTGACTATAAAATTTTGTGACGTGATGAAGAGATGTCACATGTAATTCTTGAAGGCTCATAGGGTTGAAAAAAAAAAGTCTTACCCTAATTTTGGTCTCTGGACACTATGAGTGGAACACACTGAAGCAGTGTGGCTGAGAGAGCAGACTCAAGGAGGAAGAGGGCTGCTGCAGTTCACTGCACTAAGCCCATGAGAAGTGTTGAAAGATGCTGCCATGCTGCTTTAGCTTCCAAATAACTTGAGGATTTTTACCTTAAACATGTTTAAATGAACAACCTCAGTGGTCCTGCTTGTGTGTTCACAGCTTTAGTCTCACTGTGCCAAGCTGTTATGTGTTATGAATTCTGCCTGTTTTTATGAATGATTGAGTAACTTGTAAGCTGCAGCTTTCTCATGTGCAGGGTAAGGGTGAGCTGGCACAGCTGTTCTGATGTGCCTCAGGACACACTGAGTGTCCAACAGCTGCCAATGCTGTGATCTCACAGCGTTCAGCACAGAGCTCTGGGGAGGGAGCAGCTTTCTCAGCTGTACTAGCACTTGTTGCATTGTTCAAGAAGGAAATCTTGTCTGCTCTAAGCAGTGCAGTTCAAGTGGCATTTGTGTCTTGCAGCACTCTCCTGCCAGGCAGATGAAAGGCTCCAGAGGAGCCTGAGAACCTTCAGCTGCCTTCAGCTATTGTTGAAGTAGAGGTCAGGCTAAATCAGGACAGTTGGATAATTTTTCAACTTTCCCTCTGGTGAAATTGGGAAGAAGAGGGAGCACTTCATAACTCCTTTAGGGGTTTAAATGAGACTTTCATTTTTTACCAATACATTACAATAAAAGCATGTGCCATACTGGGGAGAGGCATGGGGTTGATAAATCCCTGTAAATAAACAAACTCCCTGTCACCTCTCTCACTTCTCTAGTGCTATTTCCCTCTAAGTCCTCTTGAGTTCAGCTGGTTAACATAAGATTATATTATTAGTCATAATTTCTTACTTATGCCTGGTTTGTTGTTTGACACTGCTTTGCTTCTGATCCCAGGTTTATTAGTCTTCTTACTTATGCCTGGTTTGTTGTTTAGACACTGCTTTGCTTTTGATCCCAGAAACCTGTTACATCTTCCCAATTCCATGGACTGTTCTAAAATGAAAGACTTTATGTTTCCCAACGAACATGGTATCTCATGTTTTTCCATATATTCATTCATAACATGAAGGAATTTTCCCCTCATTTTCAATTTGTCTTCTGCTTGTTCTTACTTATGCCTGGTTTGTTGTTTAGACACTGCTTTGCTTTTGATCCCAGAAACCTGTTACATCTTCCCAATTCCATGGACTGTTCTAAAATGAAAGACTTTATGTTTCCCAACGAACATGGTATCTCATGTTTTTCCATATATTCATTCATAACATGAAGGAATTTTCCCCTCATTTTCAATTTGTCTTCTGCTTGAATTAGGGCAAGGAAGTGGCAGAGCTGCCAGTAATGGGAGGTATACAATTCTTTGTCTGCCTAGAAAACAAAGCAAGCAGATGTGCATTTGAAAAGTCAAGAAATAGAGGGTATTTGTGAGAACGATTGCCACTGTATGTATTGGGTTTATGATGCCTTTGCAATCAGGTGTATCTCTAAAAGAAGTGCCCTATTATGTCTGCTGCACATCAGGAAATAAAGGAGCAGTGTGATTTAACTGGGAGGCTGCCTTCCTTTCGAGCAATTTTTGAGCAGTTTGCTGTGCTATTGTTTTTCCAGCACCCTGTGGGGTAATGACAAGAGCTGCAGCCACTTGTACAAAGGGAAAATTGGTCTCTGCCTTTAACAGGTGGTAGGTGCTGTGTATGAAAGAGAAATGTATTTTTAACGTGAAC